CCACCGCTTGATATTCCCCATGCTCAGGCATGGGGGCCATTTCTCCACATGAGCTGCGGGCCCCATAGGGGGGAGGCTCGCGCCTAAGGCTTCCATATTGCTTCAGGGAGGAGGCTTCCGCTCGAGACGTCTCCACAATGAATGCCTACAGTGATGGTGATGATGGCCCCCGCATCATACACGATGGTGATGACGATGGTAACGTGCGATGGTGATGGGGATTGTGATGGCGATGATAAAGTACCGTCCGATGGTGGTGAGACTGGTCGTGACAATGCTGAGGATGGTGATGATTATGGTGGCGATGGTGACGGCGATGATCAGTACAGCCTGGCGATGTTGATAATGGTGGTGGTGATGAAGGTGAGGACGGTAGTGGTAATGATGGTGTTGATGGTGGTTGATGATGGTGGAAGGCATTGAGCGATTAGTGGTGACGCTGCGAGTGATGATGAGGGGGCTGATGGAGTTATGATGGCGATGGTGCGCGGGTCACTGATGAAGTGAGTGTGCGAAGGCATGAGAGGAAAGGGGGCGGGAGGAGGACTGCGCGCGGTGTCCAGGGAAAACAAAAAACAATATTCAGAATGGGGGGGAAACGGGACGAAGTGCACGCGAGCGCGTTGTCGCGCGCGCACGCCGAAATCTTTCACAAACTTCAGGATTCGCATATATTTCAAAACAAAAAAACGAACGCCCCGAAAAAAAAAAAAAAACATCGAACAAACAAAAAAATGTTTTTTTGTGTTGCAACATCGGTTTTCAAAAAAGTTCGCGCGCGCTCTCGCGGACTCTTGAGAAAACCATCGTGTTTTCAGCATCGCCATCAGATACTGCCAAACGGGCCTCCCGCGCCGCATGTCGAGTGCATCCAAACGCCCATGCGCGCGGGCTGGAGGGGCACGGTCCGCGTCGAATAAAACGACGCAGGCCTTTCGCGCGCGTCGGCCGCGCGCGCGCGTCGAACTCTCCACGAAATCTGCGTTGCCGACGCGAGGGCATCGCGATCGTCGCCGGCGGGCGCGATCGGCATCGTCGCCGTCATTGGCCTTGCCGTCGTCATCTCCGCCACCGCCACCATTCTCGCCGTCGCGTCCACCGGCGTCGACGCTGTCACGATCTCCGCCCAAGCGGCCGACTCGCGCAGAAGTGCCCGCTGGAAGCGCGCAGCGGCAAGCGCCTCAGCGCCGCCGCGGCCGCGTCGGTCGCGCCACGCGAGCCGACCGCTGCGCGCGCGAGCGCGCGCGGGCTAGAGCGGCCGCAGAGATGCCCCAGCCAATGGCAAGCTCTCATGGCAATCGCCGCCGCGTGGGTTTTGCGAACCAAGTTGCGGGTGGGCGCGCGGGTTGTTTGCGCGGGAAGCGGAGTTGACAAGTCTGCGCAAGCCTTCATATGTTCCCACGTCTATTAGAGCATTGGGACCCCTCCCCCCCCCGGGCGCAAGCGCGATTTTTTCCGCGCGGCAACTCGCGCAAGATTTTGCCCCATCGCCCACCCTAGATGAAAATTCATTTCATCGCAGCCAAACCGGCAACGCGCCCCCCCCCCACCCCCCTTCCCCCGCCCCCCCAAACCTACCCACCCACCCCCCCTCATCTTTTGGAAAAATTATACGCGCGTGCACTCGTTGATCAAAAATCAGAAGCTTCTGAGAATTCCCAACAGATGCGGAACGAAGTGCACGCGCGCGCCGTCGCCCCCGCGCGCCGACATCTGTTCAAAACCATAAGTTTTGTTTCTTCAACGTGTTCATAATCTGCTACCACGTCGAAATCATTCGAACGCGCGCGCGTAGAAAATCGCTCGAACGTTTTCGCGCGCCCGCTGTCGCCAGAATACATCGCTGAAAAAAAAAGGACGAAGTGCGCCCGCGCGTCGTCGCGCGCGCGCGACGAGACCCCTTGAATATCTGCGGCGCTGGAAGGGCGTAAACATTGAGGGCCCCGAAACATGCGCATATATATATATATATATATATATATATATATATATATATAAGCAACGCGTTGTTTTGCAGCATCAGTTTTCGATGCGTTTAAACGGCGCTCGCGCTCTCTCGATTGTTTAAGAAACTTGTTGGTTTCTCCGCATTTCATTGAGATGTGCCAGACGGGCCTCTCGCGCATCGTTTCAACCTCATTCGAACGCCCTTGCGCCCGCGCCGGGGGTCGCAATTCGCGTCAGAGAACGCCGCGCGGGCCACTCTCGCGCGTCGGCCGCGCACGCGCCGAATTCCTTGAGTAACCTTCATCGCCGACGCGTGGGCGCCGTCGTCGTCGTCGGCGCGACCATCATCGGCGCCGTCGCTGGCCGCGCCGTCGCCGTTGTCTCCATCGCCACCAGCGCCGCTACTATCTTCATTGCGCCCGCCCAAGTGGCCGACTCGCACTGAAGCGCCCGCTGCGAAGTGCCCGGGGGCCAGCGCCACCGCGGCCGCGACGGTCGCGCCGCGCTAGCCAGCCGCCGCACGCGCGAGCGCGCGCCGCACCAGCCAACGCCAAGCACTCATCGCAATCGCCGCCGCACGTGTCTTGCAAAATCTGTCGCGGGCGGGCGGGCGGGCATTGCGCGCGCCCGCTTATCAAAAGTCATATGTCTTCAAGAACCCCGCGCGACAAGTGGGGCGATGTGCGCGCGCGCGCCCTCGCGCTCACATTGTGGAACATGTAAAACATGGGTTCCGCGTGGATTTCAAATCGAGCCCCAAGACCATGTAGAACACATGTTTGGCAACGGGAATGTTCAAACAACTTCTCGGGCTCGTCCGAATGCGCAAGGAACCCACAGGTTTTTCATCATTCGGATAACTTGATACCAAGTGGGCCTCTCGCGCGCGCATGTCGGAATCGCTCGAACGCCTTTGCAAGCGCGTCGTCGCAAGAATCCCTTGCAAAAAAACGGGACGGAGCGCACGCGCGCGCATCGCCGCGCGCGCGTTCGAAAATCCTTCAACAACCTTCGGTTGCGCGCGGATGCCAAAATCGAATGGCCCGAAAACGTGCAAACACAAATGGTTTTGCACCGCCAGTGTTCAGGAATGTCTGCACTCGCGGTCGCGCGGCTTCTGAAGAAAACCAAAGGTTTTGCAACGCGTTCATCCAACTCTCAATATTGCCAAGCGGGCCTCTCGCGCCGCGCGCCGAACCCATTCGAACGCCTTTGTGCGCGCGCTGCGGGGGAGGGGGGCGCGTGACCCGCGTCAAAGACTACCGCGCGGGCCCCTCGCGCGCGTCGGCCGCGCGCGCATGCCAATCTCTTTCACCAGCCTTCATCGTCGACGCGAGGATATCGCCAATCGTTGCCGGCGGGCGCGATCAACATCGGCGCCGTCATTGGCCACGCCGTCGTCGCCGCCGCCGTCGCTACTAGCATAGTCGCATCACCGTTGTCGGCGTCGCCATAACGCCGCGCCCGCCCAAGCCACCGACTCGCACTGAAGTGCCCGTTGGGACCGGCGGTCCGCGCCACCGCGGCCGCGGGGGTCGGTCCGCGCTAGTTCGTCGCTGCGCGCGCGAGCACGCGCGGGCTAGCGCGGCCGCAGAGATGCACCAGCCAACGCCAAGCACTCATCGCAATCGCCGCCGCATGGGTTTTGCAGACCAAGTTGCGGGTGGGTGGGTGGGACGTTTGCAAGAGCATGGAATGGGTCAGCTCGTTTGTAAAAGTCAAGTGCACCATATAGGTTATCTTTTTAGAACAAAACATGAAGATATCCTTCCTTCCCGGATTTAACCGCTCACTATTTCACATTACAAAGTACACATGGTTTTAAAATCATACGCGCGCACATTCGCTTATCAAATATCACCAGTGTTCAAAATTCCTTCGCGCAAACATGGGGAGCAGTGCACGCGCGCGCGTCGCCGCTCGCGCGCGCCGAAGTCACTCAAGAACCGAAGGTTTCGTAAGGATGTCAAAATCGAGTGCCCCGAACTATAAAACAATGGTTTCGCAGTAATGCGTTTCAAGGCAAAGTTTGCGCTCGCGCACTTACATACTTTTCAAATCACCATAGGTCTTCCATCAGTTTCATAATATGCTACCAAACGGGCCTCTCGCGCGCACATGTAGAAGTCACTCGAACGCCCTTGCGCGCGTGCTGTCGCAAGAATCCCTTACACAAAAATTGGACGAAGTGCGCGCTCGCGCGTCGTCGCGGGCGCATGGCGGAATCTTTCGAGAAAGCCACGAGTTCCGTAAGGATTTCAAAATCGAGCGCCCCGAAAACATTCAAAAATGGTTTTGCGAAATCACCTTTCAAAAATAATTTCGTTCGCGGGTCAACTGGTCCGCTTGGGTGTGTTGATAATGTGGTACCGCGCGCATTCCTAGAGCTCCTCGTGCAGTTACAAATGAAGGGCGGTTTGCAAAAAAAGGGTTGTCAATGTTAGAAGGGGCACTTCGCCCGGGTCGGCGGATGCACTTTGGCTTCTGTGCCGCGGGCAGCTAGGGCCAGCTAGCCTGAGCTGGCCTAGCTGCTAGGCCAGCTCAGCACCAAGGATTGGCACACGTGTTTTGGGGGGATGGGGGGTCGACCAGGCAGGCCTGGACACCGATCTTGAGCCACGATTCTTCTGGTCAGGCTTGATGTAAGTGAATGGCTGGTGTCATCCAGCCTGTGACTGCTGAGACGGCTCGTGAGACCGCTCTGGTCGTTTCGAAATCGGGTCCGTTGTGTGTCCTTGGCGCGGCTGGGCTCGATTCGGAGAAGGACGGGCAGCTTGCCCAGCCGAAAAGGACCCAGAGGGGAAGCCGAACATGAAGTTTGTTTTTACGCTTAGACTGCGTACTCCCACGCTCGATCCTAAATAAGTTAAGTTGGATAGATGGGTTTAGCCTGGCTATCTTCTGAAAAAGTATGCCTCGATCTTACTTCAAGCATTGTTGCCCAGCACACACTTCTGCCATATGGTGAGTGCTCGGTGCCCCAGATTCTCGGGAGTCGTCTTTCAGGGAATGGCGCATTTGGCCCCTCACCGTATTTGTTGAGCCGTTGCGAGGCGATGAGGAGGGCCAGAAGCTGCGAAGGCAGTTGGCGCGCGGGTCCACAATGGTCTTCATATGCGCCGGGCTCCAGGGCAAGAGGTTCACTTTCGAACGCGCCGCGGCTTTGGGTATCAAGTGCGTGGTGATCGAGCATCCAGGCTCGTGGGCAGAGAGCCTCGTGACCGAGGGCATCGTCGCGAAGTTTTTGCCCGTGGACATGAGCCAGAGCTCGGAGGAGATTTTCTTTCAGGCGTGGCCACGCGAACAAGCAGTTAGTGCAAGGGGGGGGGTCCAAGAGGATAGAGTGTGCTCTGAGACGACAGGGGCCTTCTTATGAGCCCTCCAGACTTCTGGGGATCTGTTTTAGCCGGTCCGGGCCCGTCTAAGAAGGCCCGTACTTTTTCAGAAGTTCCCCGCCTTCTGGAAGTCCGCCCCCCCCGCGCCACCCCCGCGTGCGCGCTGCCACAAGGCACAGAAGCACATCAAGTCCCTGGGCAGCGACGGGAAGACGGGCACGGCCGACGGCATCTGCACGTTCGTGGAGCTCTCCGTGCCCATGGTCGCCAGGCTCTGCGAGTCCCTCGGGCTCCCCGGCCACCTGCCCGCCTCTGTGGACTGCGCCAGGACCCTGCGGCCGCCGATCGCGCTTGCATCGCCGACCGCGGTGCCGTGGGCAGAGGAGGAGGAGGAGGAGGAGGAGGAGGAGGAGGAGGAGGAGGAGGAGGAGGGGGAGATGTAGGAGGAGCAGGAGGAGGAGGAGGAGGAGCACCCGCGGGGCGCCTCTGTTTGCCGCCACCGTGCCCGGCCACGGCCGCCTATTGGGCCCCGGGGCGGTGAGCAGACCCGCCGGCCTCGGCCAGGAGGGCGTGCGGCCGGGAACCTTGGGCTCAGCGCGTCGAGGCGCCGGCTCTGGCCCACCACGCTTGGGCGCGACGCGCCATGCATGTCCAGGCCCTGGGCGACGACGTCCCGCGGAGCAGAGCGGCACGCTGTCCGCTCGCAGGGCACACCGTGTCGCCAAGGGCCACCGCTGCGACACGCCATCCGAAAGCTCCTGACCGTATACGCATGCACCATGTCAGGTGTTCGATCATGGACACCGTGGTGACCACGCCGAGCTCTAGCTGCCGCGCCGAGCGCCGCAGGAAGCCACCGGCAATCGACGAAGACCGCCGAAAGCCGTCAGAGAACCACCGCAGACCGCCAGGAGACCGCCCGAAGACCGCTCGGGGCTGGGTGACACGGGGTCCGTCGTCGAATGCGTGCAGTGGAAGCCCATGCCAAACAGCACCTTGCCTCCAGGGTGCCCTGGGTCTCTTGGATGTCAATGGCTCTGCTGTGGAAAGCGTGGCACTCCGACACCAAAACTCTATGGACCCTGGGGTCTCAGGTCTGGGCTTATTGTGGAGGGTTTCCTGTGGTCGAGCTCCTGCTGTAGGCCATGCCAGGGCCCAGGAGGGTCTTGTCCAGGCATGGTGTTTAGGAACAGGTGCCTCCCGCGCAGGAGCGAGGAGCTGCGCCCGAGGGGCCCGCACTGAGGAAGCCTCCACCCCCTCGGGCAGCAGCTCCGTCCTGCCCGCGCGGCGCCGTCTATCGCGTGGTTCGAGCCTTTTGTTGGCGCTTGGCTGATCTCGGCGGCGAGCGAGGGGAGAAGTTCGAGGCTCGAGGTTTTCGGCCATTTTCGTGGATTATTAGCGGTTTGCCGCCCGCGGGATGCGTGCCAGCGGCTGCGCCTCGCCGAGAGCGTTCTGATGCCCAGATCGTCCCGAACTGCCGCCAGAGACCCGAGCCAGGACCCGAAAACTGAACTCGGCGGCGAGCGAGGGGGGGAAGTGAGAGGGAGCAGGCCCCAGAAAGCAGCGGGGCTTCGCAGAAGCCCTCCGGCCTTTTCAGAGGCGTCGTCTCCGGGGAAGGCTCAGAACACCTTTCAGAAGGCCCCGGGACTTCCGAGCCGTCTGAGAAGGCCCGCCCCCTCTCATTTCCCCCCCTCGCTCGCCGCCGATGGACGGCTTGCGCAGGGCGTGGCCTTGTGGTTCCTGTGATCGGCACGAGCTCAGGCCTCGGGGGTCCGGGGCTCATATCGGCTCCTCCGGCTCGGTTCCATTCGATTTCGATCGATCCCGATTCCGATTCTATGCGGTTTCGGATTCCGATTTGGATGTCGGTTTCTCAATGGAGGCCTTACTAGCCTACCGATTCCCGCCGCCTACCGATTCCCGCCGACCCGACTTCTCTCGACTTGGTTGCTGATCTGAGGCGATCCGCTTTGTTTCGATCGCCGATCCGACTCATCGATTCGATTCTGGGCTCTCCTGCCTGGAGTGGGGGGGATTGCGAACGGCGGCGGCGACGCGATCGGCCAGATAATTCACGCCAGGAACAAGCACGCGACGCGGGCCGCGCTGAAGGAGGCTGGTCTTCCGACGCCGAAGAACCACCTGATCGTCACGGAGGCCGACGTGGCCGTCGGCGCAGCGAAGGTCGGCTTCCCTGCGGTCTTGAAGCCCGTCAGCGGGGCGGCGTCCTTGGGAGTCAAGAAGGTGGAGTCTCTTGCAGATATGAGGAAGACTTGGCACGAGATTGTGACCGAGCTGAAGACACTGGTGGTGAGCAGCGGTGCGCTCATCAAGGGCGCCTCGGGGTCGGAAGGAAAGCCCGACCTGCCCTCACCATCCCCAGCTCCCCCACACCACAGCGCACGCGCTCTCCCTGCACCTCCCTTCTCCACTCGTTGTGTCTGTGTCCCCCCCCTTGTTCGTTGACCTTCTGCCTCCCTTCTCTTCCGTCCGGTCGACATCGCTTGTCCTTCCGCCCTTCCAGCAGGGTGGCAGGGTTCGTCTTTTGATTTCCCCTCGTCACCTTCCTGATCATGCGTCTCCCCTCTCGTCCTCGTATCCTCCTCGCCATCCTCTCACCTGTCCAGGCGGCCCTGACAGCGGTGGTGTCCAGGCGGACAACGTCGACCTGACCGTGTTGATGGAGCAGTACCTCGACGGTCCCGAGGTGGACGTTGACGTGGTCATGTCCAACGGTGAGCACGTGTACGCCGGCGTGTCTGACAATGGTCCCACTTTGGAGCCCTACTTCAACGAGACGTGGGCGGTGGCGCCCTCCATGCTCCCAAAAGAGCAGCAGGTCGCCCTAAGGGACCTCTCCGTGAACATCGTGAAGGCAATGGGCTTCACTTCCGGAGTCTTCCACGTGGAGTGCAAGTACACGAGCTCTGGCCCGCAGCTCATCGAGGTGAACGCCCGCATGGGAGGCGGCCAGGTGCGGATGGGCCAAGAAGCGCACTCTGGAGCACGACCTCCTGCCTCCGCTCTGGGCGCATCGCGTGCGGAGAGGTCGAGCTCTGGAGTCCGACCTTCCGGGCCTCCCGGTCGCCCAAGGCCGCAGGCACGGCAGGCACGAAGAGCAGCAGCGGGCCCCTGGGGCCCCATCGCCCCCCGAAGTCCTCCAGAGGCCTCGGGGCCCCCCCGGCGGCGCCTCCGGCGCCGCCTTTGGCGCGCTCCGCGCGCCAGTGAGGGGGGGGGGTCCAGCGCAGATCCAAGAAGTCCGCGCGGAGCGCCAAAAGTTTCTGTCTGTGGCGTTTTTTTTCTTCCACTCCTGGGGTCCCCGAGGGCCGTATCAGTTCGGGGGTGGACAGAACCCCCAACAGTGACACGTCGATTAGTGAATTGTCCGTTTTCGGTTCTCGAGGGGGCGCCGTGGCTGTTATTTTCCAGGCTCGCGCCCGCCAGGTTTGGGCCTCAGGTCGTTTTCACTAAACCACGTTGTACTAAAGGGGGGTCTGTCCATCCCCGAGTCAATGACCTCCGCGATCCTCCCTCTCGCCCGGCGGCTCACGGGCAGGTCCACGAGTGCAACTGGAGGACCTGGGGAGTGGAGCTCGTGGAGGAGACCCTCTTCGCGGCCCTGGGCATCCCCGCGCGCCCGCCGGTCCCGAAGGCTGGGGCAGAGAGTTGGATGGTAAGCTTAAGTCGGGCATGTCCTTCTACAGGGGAACAAAAAGTGTCATAAACATAAAAACTCGGAGGTCCGCGCGGATTTCTCGGATCGGCGCTGGACCCCCTTCCCTGGCGCGCGGAGCGCGCCAGGGGCGGCGCCAGAGGCGCCGCCAGGGGGCCCCAGCGCCGATCCGAGAAATCTGCGCGGACCTCCGAGTTTTTATGTTTATGTCACTTTTTGTTCCCCTATTCTACAGGAGGAATATTCAAAAATAAGCAACAACAAATTTGGGGGCGATTGTTTGACGATGTTTGCATGTTTGTTGCGCATGTGTTGGCTATGTGTCATTTTTCTTCGAAAATCCACCTGCAGGAGGACATGCCCGACCTGATAGTAAGTCACGGAAGTCTCCGCTCGGCTTGCTTTGAACGTATATCGGCGAGCAGCGTCCAATAAAGCCCAGTGGTGCGCGAGCGCCGCGCCCAACAGCGCCGAGCAGCGCTCAATTTGCACGCAGCGGCTCCCAAAACAGCGCCCAAACAGCGCCATGCGCGGGAGATGCGTTGCGTCCGCTTTGCGTGCTATTGAACGCGCTATGTGGCGCCATGGGGACGATCACAAGTTTCCGTGAGTTGCTCGCTCAAGATGGATTGTTCTGACCACCCTCTAACCCTCCCCCCCCCCGCACACTTACCTCCCATTCCCCCATACTCCTGGGCGAGAAGGTTTGAACGATAGCAGCCATCGGCAGGCGTACACCTCTGCGCTCCTTTCAAGGGGAGCTGCGAGCATCGAGATTATGGTCGGAAAGTGGGCCTGCTAATAAGGCATTCGTGGAATCACTGCTCAAGATCTGATTCACTCTTGAACGCCAATCCACCGCGGCGCCGGAGAACATGTGCCCGTGAAGTTTTGATTTGAATTTTAGATTTGGGGCGCCACTAGGAGGGCACAAACAGGCTGGCGACGGATACACCTCAAGCATGGCGACCATCTCGAAGTATGTCTCACAGTCACACAGGGGATCTCCACTTGCCCCATCTTTGCCAAGCCATTTTTACTTATGTGGAGCCCTTTTCGGTAATCTTGTGTCGGAGCCCTTTTGAGATCGTCGTTGCCGTGGGTGCGTCTTGGCCGAGTTTGGGTTCAAGTACGCTGGGATTCATTGGGGAGGAGATAGAGTGGGCAGCAGCTGGGCACACTAGGAGTGCGGATAGATCAGGCATCACAGGCACGGTGGAGCAGCATTGATGGCCCCTTGACGACCGCGAGGTTGTGAGCTATTGTTGATTTTAGTGAGCGGGTTTCAGGAGACGAAGGAGAAGGCATGCAGACTCGTCTCGGGGGCGTTCAGGAGGCATCGCTACGATGCTGCAGGGGGATGTGGGCATAGCATTGAATGGTTTTGCGTGGCCTCTGGGGGGATTATTGGCGGTTGATTTGGGCCTCGCTGGGTCTTTTTGAAAGCCTTTGGAGAGCTTTTCGGGAGAGAGCATATCCCGAAGAGGCTCGGTGGCACCGTTTTGGGGCCGTCTGGTCGTGCGTCGCGTCCATATGTTAGTAGTTTGGGCCTCTGTGAGGTGACTTCAGCCGTCTTGGGTGATCCTACGTCTAACAGGTGCAGGAGAAATGGCGGCGAAATATCAATGAGCCAGCAGTCCAACATGACGTTTTGACTCCAATGGCGTCTGAAAATTATGATTGCCTGTTTGGGTCCCCTTTGAGGGCCCTGCGAGGATCTCGGAGCTGCCATTGACGCGATATTTCCACCGAGATGTTCCGAAGAGGCTCGGGTGAACCATCTTGGGTAAGTTTGGGCGTGCCTTGGTGTTTTCTCGGGCTGTCTTTGGAGGTTCTGAACAGTATTGGGGATGTCTTAAGGCGATCTTGGAGTCTCCTTGGGTTGTCTGGAGGTTTAGCTGAACTCTCTGAACATTTCCCAACGTGATAACTGTCAAATCCAATGCGTCGGAGGCCAAACAGATTGATTTGTCTTGGGTCATCACTGCGATTCGCATCTTAGGGCCTCGCCAGAGGCCACTTTGAGAGTCTCTTGGAAGCTCCTGTTGTGGGCCTCCTGGGCCATATTTGGAGTATATTGGGGCCTCTTGGGATCGCTGGGCCGGTTGTGCATAGTCTTGGGGGGTTGTTCTGTGGCGGGCTTGGCTGTTTTAGAGCCGCTCCGAGGCCGAACAGATCATTGACGAGCAAAACTAGGGGGCGATTTTCGGACCCCGGGGGGACGAGGGGGAGGGGGATTGGACCTGCAATTGCAGAAGCCATGCCAGACAACGAATATGCGACTTCCCCTGATCGTGGAAGTGCAGCAAGCAGCATGCAGTGGAGTACATCACTCACGACCAAGAGGGCTTGTGGAATTGCAGGGCCAGTGCAGGTCATTGCAGGGTCATTTGCAGGGTATTGCAGGCTCGTTTGGAGGGTCGTTTGCACGGTATTGCAGGGGTCTTGTCTGCATGGTATTGCAGGGGTCTTTGCAGGAGGGCGTTGCAGGGTATTGCATGGGGCGCGGCGAGGCCCAGGAGAGGGGGCAGAGGGAGAAGCAGACCTTGCCCTGAAAGGGAAGATGGAGACTGGACGAACTGTCTCGCTGGGCCGCGTACGCCCAGAGAGCTGACAGGTCGGCAGATCGCCGAATGATGTGTTTCAGTTAAAGGGGGCGATCGTTAGAAAAAGCAACAGCTGTGTGTGGGTGTGCGCGTGAGTGCGGCTGGGTGCGCCTCCCCCCCTACTGTCTGCCCCCTAACCTGAGACCTCGCGGCCCTTTCGGTGCTCACGTGAGCGTATGTTGCCGCAAGCTCTTTGCAGCGCGTCCCGCATCACCAGTTCCATCTTTAGGGTGTCCTGGCGTCGACCAGCGTCTGGTGATCGATGAGATAGCGCCGACCTAGAGTCGATTAGCGTCGATTCGCAAGAGCCAACAAGATGGCATGGAAGGCCCCCATGAACTGACACGAAAGATAGGTTAGCGTCTGCGCGGATCCCCCAAGATCTCGCTCACTGGTTCTCTCAACCACGGTTCGAGGCGGGCGATCGCGCCTGCCAGACTTGCTGGAGCCTCGATGTCGCCAGCCGAAGGCGCTCTTGAATCAGCACCGCGGGCGCTGTGGCCCACAGCGTCGGAGGGGGGGAAAAATTACCCTGGCGACGTACCCAAACCCTGCGCAAGCGCGGGGCGCAAATACTTTAAGACACTTTATAAGGAGGACACTTTATAAGGGGAGGAAGGGAGACCACAGTCCCTTACTCAAAACGAATGCCCAACCAAGGAGGGTTGGGAAAAAGCGTTGGATGGCGGAGCCCGGCCCGCCCGAGGCGCCCCTGACTGCCGTGGCCTACTGCTACGTCAACGCGGAGCGGTCCGGCACCGCAGGCGACCTGAAGGCTCGGGCGTTGCGCCGTGGAGGGGCCAGGAGGAGGAGGGGGAGGAGGAGGAGGAGGAGGAGGAGGAGGAGGAGGAGGAGGAGGAGGAGGAGGGGGCGGTGGAGAAAGGTGCGCCTTTTTATTACACCTTTCGAGACCCTGAAGGGGTCCCCTGGGGCCCGACGGGGGCACGAAAGGTGCACGCTTCTTCGCGCCCCTTGTGCATCGCCACCCCCATCCAACAGCGCCCAAAAGGCCCTGGGGGAGCTCGTGAAGCGGGACAGGGTCGTGTGGGCGAAGCCCCTCGTGAAGCCTGGCGACAAGGTCGTTGGCCCAGCCGACGGGCTCCCCTCGTGGCTCGCCGACCTCTTCGTTGAGGGCAGGTCTCGAAGAACAGAAAACGGCACAGACATCATTTCTCGGAGATCCGTAGGGGATCTCTTGCATCGGCGCTGCCCCCCGAGGCGGCGCTTCCGGCGCCGCCCCCGGCGCGCTCCGCGAGCCAGGCAGAGGGGCTCCAGCGCCGATCCAGGACACCCGCGCGGAGGAGCTCCGAGAAATCACGCTTGTGCCGCTGCGTGTTCTTCCGAGGTCGCCCAAGGAGGCCCTGGACTTCTTGCTCGCGTTGCAGGCCGAGCAGCCGGTCAAGGTCCTCTAGAGGCCTTTTCGGAGCCTTGTGGGCGCCGCTCGGCCGAGCAGGCGCCCACCCGACGCTCGGGAGGGCCACGGGCCCCCCCGCCACATTCGGGCGCGTGGAGCCCGCGGGCGTGCAGTTGGTGCAGGTGGGAGCCGGCTGGGGCTCTGAGGTGGCTCAGCACCGATTCCTGCCAGCAGGAAGGAGGGGGCCTCTTTCCTCTTGCCAGCAGAGGAAAGGAGAGGAGGGGGGCCCTCGAGGGGCTTCTCGTCGCCTCTGCTGGGCGCGGCTCGGACGGCTGGTGCGTTTGGACCTCGGGAGGGGTCGGGGGATCGATGTTGAGCAGATTTGCCTTCATCCCCCCTCTGGCCGATTCTCTTCAGGTTTATCCAGCTCAGATCCCCAGGCTGCTTCCACGGGACAGGTCTTCCAGAATCCAGTGCCTCGAGGAACGAAAAACAGCACAAGCATAAATGTTCGGAGCTCCGCACGGGTGTCTTGGGTGGCCAGCGCGGATCTAAGAAATCCACCCGGAGCTCCGAACGGTTATGCTTACGCAGTTGTTTTTTATTCTTCTCCAGAGCCTGGGGCGAAGCTTTGGGCGCCCACGTGCTCGTGAGTCCCGAGGTGGGGCTAATACATAACCACCGCCTGGGTGTTCGATCTGCGGGGACCTCGCAGGCGGCCTGGGGCCCAAATACATTCACCTCCATCGCCTGAATTGTGGTCCCAGGAAGTTGCCTCCTCAGGCCGTGGCTGTGGACAAATGGCCTCCTGGCATCAGCCGGGGCGGAGCCCCGATCTGTAGCGTATACCCGCCCGCCAGTAGGACAGGGTTCGGCGAAAATGTGCGGTCCCGCCTCTCGGCGGCGAGCGAGGGGGGGAAATGAGAAGGAGAAGGCCTTCTCAAAAAGCTTGGAAGTCCCCTGGCCTTCTGAGAAATGTTCTAAGCCTCCCCAGAAGACAAACAAAGCCTCTCAGAAGACGCGAGGGCTTCTGATAAGTCCCGCCGCCTTCTGATAAGGCCTTCTCCTTCCCACTTCCCCACCCTCGCTCGCCGCCGAGACTCTGTCCACTCTTCCCGCTCCTCGTGTGCGGCGTGTGCCCCGTCGGCCCCTTGCTCCTCGTAGGGGTCCGTGGGAGGCTGGAGGCCCGGGAGGGGCCGCGGGAGGGGCCGCTGCAGGTTCTTCATGACATCCTCGTCCTCCTCGTCATCATCGTACAGTGGAAGCCCACATGCCAAGAAACACCCTGCTTGCCTTGGGTTTCGATGCGGTTGCCAAGGAAAGCGTGACGCTGCCGCACCAAAAGTCCATGGAGGTCTTGGGGTCTCAGGGTTGGGTTTCTTATGGACAGTTTCTTGTGGGCGGGCCTCCGCTGTATTCCTCTTCTTTTTCCTCTTCCTTCTCCAACGCCTCCTCCTCCTCCCTCGTCCTCGTGAACATCCTCGTGGAAGAAGGTGCTGAGTCGCGCCTGCATTGGCAAAGCGTCTGGACCAGGTGGCAGTCCACCAGTGATTAGACTAAATGTATTAGCCGACCGTTGGGGGACCAGCGTGGGGGATGCCGGGGATGCCTAACCTTTCCCACGTCATCATCTTGGGCAGTGTGCTCGCAATTTGGACGGGGGGACCCTTGGAGCCCGTTTCTTTATTGCTTGGGACATGACGGGCTTCATGGCCCCCGGCCCCCCTCCCCCGCCCCTATGACGTAACGCTCCCCCCCCTCCGGTGCATCGTGATCCGCATAGGTGTCCGCATAGGAATCCGCATAGGAGTCTGGTCCGCAGTCGTCGTCGTCCTCGTCGTCGTCGTCGTGTTCGTCGCTCGTCGCTCATCGTCGTCGTGCGCGCGGACGAAGAGGGAGCCAGCTGTTTCATTCCGGGCCGATGACGGTAATCATCTGGGCGGGGGGGAGGGGGCCGATGACGTCACGTTTCGCGCCGGCGGCGTCTGGGAATGCCTAGCAATCACAGAGGACGGGTAGCAGCAGCATGTCGGTGGCGATCTGCACCACAACGCCTGTGTACACCATGGTGCCTGCGTGCACCACAGCGCTTGTGTACACCACACCGCCCATGTACACCACAGCAGCCGCGTGCATCACAGCGCCAGTGTGTGCCACAGTGCCTGTTGGCACCACAGCGTTCGTGTACACCACAGCGCCCGCGTACACCACAGCAGCCGTGTACCTCACAGCACCAGTGTACACCACAATACTTGCGTGCACTGAGCACGGCACCAGTGAATATACCATTCTGCGGTGCACGCTGAGACGCGCACGTCCGCTGCAGTGCCGACCCGCACGACAGAGGGGGAGGGGGAGGGAGGAGGAAGAGGAGGACGAGGAGCAAGAGGAGGAGGACGAGGACGAGGAGGAGGAAGAGGAGGAGGCGGCGGAGGTGGAGGAGGGAGGAGGGAAAAACGTCGCATTCTATTATCAGCGCTTCTTTTGCGTGGCGATTAGCTCTCAATACCAGATCCTCACCGACATGTTCCTTCTATTTGTCCTGTGCGCGCAGGCGCTCTGGTGTACACCAGCGGTGCGTTGCGCGCGGATGGTGTGGTGTAGACAGGCGTCGTGGTGTGCACAGGCGCTGCGGTGCACGTAAGCACTGTGGTGTAGACAGGCGCTGTGTTGCACATGGCTGCTGCGGCGTACACATTCGCTGTGGAGTGCACCGGCGCTGTGGTGCACGCAAGCACTGTGGTGTACACAGGCGCTGCGTTGCACACGGCTATTGCGGTGTACGCAGGCGGTTTGGTGTACACAAGCGCTGTGGTGCACGCGAGCACTCTGGTGTACACAGGCGTTGTGGGGCAGATCGCCACGTGCATACTGCTCGCGTCGTCGTCGTCGTCGTCGTCGCTCGTCGCTCGTCGATCGTCGATCGTCATCGTCGTGCGCGCGGGCGCGGCTGTGGTGCCGGAGCCGCACGGCGGGGGGGGGGCGTTACGTCATACCCCCCCCGCCCCTCCCACCCCCCCATGACGCCCGTCATCGCCGATTTGAAAAAACGCGTTCTTGGGTGCGCGTACAGCCCATGGGATTTTTTCGGGCGTGTTTGCGGCAGGGTGCCCAGAGGCGTGGGCCCCCTTCCGCCCCATGATGCCTTGGGAGGGTGCTGGCATGCCCCAGGAGTGTTTGAGAGGCTGCCAGGACGGGCCCAGGCACATCGCCAAACTGGCCCAAAGAAGCGCACGAAAGAGCCTCCAGTTTTCTTAGCCAGCTCGAGTCAAGCGACTTGGTGGTGAGGTGGTAAACATATGTTCACGTACACTTGCTTTAACTCCTTACAGTTTTGTTGATGACGCCTGCCCATGGACGTGCACAGGGGAGAACGTGTCCAACCGTAGTGTCCGAGCACCCCATCCAACTACGACTGTTTCGCTCGTGTGACCCACATTGGAGCTGACGTCATGGTTCCCACTGCGATTATAACGAAGGTAAAATGGAGAGGCGCTGGCATGTTGGAGAATTTCGAAGTAGCCGTAACATAGGTTACGGAAATAGATGAACAACAACATATGTTTGACACACGTAGGTTGAATCACAATATACTATAAGGTGTAGGCGCACAAACGCAAGCGGTGAATGCGTCGCGCAGCGAGTGCCTTGCCGGGGAGCATTTCTGCGGGGGCCAGGGGGCGCGCGACAAGGGCGCGCCGAAATGAACCAGGGCCGCCGCGCGAGCAGCGCCAGCGGGGTCGGGGCCTTCCGCGGGGCTGCCCGTGGGGCCACGACACGCGCGACGGTTGCGCAAATATGCCGCGCCCAGCCGCTGCCACCAGGGCCTTCGGCGGGGCCCCCCGTCGCGCCGCGAATTGCGCGACGATTCTGCAGGCGCCGCGCGCGGCCGCTCCTTCTGGAGCCTTCGGCGGGGGGGGCCCCTTGGGGCCACGACGCGCGCGAGCGATGCCCAAGTACGCGCGCGGCCGCCGACGCCGGGGCCTTTCTGGCGGGTTTCCGCATTCGGGCCGTCGAACGCGCGAAGGGCGCGCAAGTGCCGCGCGCGGCGGATGCTGCTGGGGCCTTTTGGTGGAGCCTGGGGAGTGCGAGTGCCGCGCGCGGCCGCTGCTACCGCGGCCTCGACGGAGTCGCCCGCGGGGCCGCGAAACGTGCGAGGGGTGCGCAAGTAGGGCGCGCAGCCTCTGCCGTTGCGGCTTTCGGTGGGGCAAATGCAAGGAGGGCTTGCGAGCACCGCGCGCGGCCGCCGCCGCTGGGAGCATCGGTGGACCCCCCGTTAGGGGCGACGGCTGGAGCCCCCTTCGGGGCCGTGGCATTTTTTGGGGGCGGGGCCATTGCCCTTAGGGCACCGCCCGACGTCGCCGAGACTTCCCCGGGCACGTCGCCGCGGGGGGCGGCGCGTCGCAGACGTCATCTGCTGAGCCACGCGGGTGCGCCCCTCGCCTGGCGCCGCGCCCCCGCCCAGCCCCCCGCCCGCCCGGCCGGGAGGCGGCCGGGCTCTCATCCCAAGGGCGTACGAGGCAGGGGGGGGGCAAGGCCCCATGGGGCAGCCGCATCCCGGGGGGGCGTCGCGCCATTCCACCTCGCCCCCGCCGGCTGCCCCGGGGAGCAGTTATTTCCGCGCTTACTTTTCTTGCAGTTCACCGATCGGGGCGGGCATATGTTTCGCACATTTGTCACGCATGTTTCATGACAACATAGGCGCCCCCCCCCAGCCGCCTATGTTTGCAACATTTGTTCACGCATTTGTTGCGCAGAACATATGCAAATAATAAACGGAAGCACACGCGAGAAATACGCGCGCGGAATCGGCGGGCGCCTCGCCTATTTCCGCCGCCAAATTTTCATCCCTGTCAAGCAAGCGCGCAACATTCCCCCGGGAATTGCGAACGCGGCCGCCCGGGGGCCGCGCCGATCGAGACCCCGCGGCGATCGTGCCGACGTCGGGCGCGGAGTTCGGGGGCATTTTGCGCCGCCTTGGGTCGCGGTGGCCGTTTAACCGCCACTTTGGGCGCCCTCGAACGCGCTGCCCGAGGCGCTGGCGCAATCGGCGCGGGCCGGGCTGGATGCGAGCGGCGCCGTGGATAGGGGTCGCCGCGGGGGGTCGCGGCGCAGACGACCCGGGGAAACAGCAGGTTTATTTTGAGAGGGCGGCGGGCAGGATGAGGAGCGCGCGAGGGGGTAGGAGGCGGGGGGGCGCGATGGCGGGGGGGGCGGCGGCGCCCGCGCGGGCCGCGGCGGCGCGCCCTCGACGCCATTGGCGCGCGGGGGCGCGCAGGGCGTTTTTCCTTCGGCTTTCGCGCGACGATGGCACAGTGGCCATGCGAGAGTTCGGGGCGCAGGAATGCCGGGTGACCCGTGGCCCTTTGCAGCGGCGAGTCGGCCTGTAGCTTCGCGCGGCCAAGGCCCGCCTCCATTGATTTTGCTCCGCCTCATCGCCCTGTGCCCCTCGCCCCCAGGGCCCGTTCTCAGTGGCCCCGTCGAGGCGGTTCTGGCAGCCGCTCCGATTGAACTTCAAGTCGCCCCCCTCTCTGTCTTCTGCGCCCCCTTCTCGCCCAATCCTATTTTCCATGCGACGTCGCGCACCTGCCCCCTCTCCTCCTCCTCATGCGCGGGCTTCATCGGCTTCGACGTCGTTTTCCTGCCGCCGTCGCCCCCGTCGGCGGCTGCGTTGCTGCATCTGCCCCCGCGGCTGCCTTCCGCCGCGTCGCCGCCGCCGCCGCAGTCGCAGATGCGGCGTCGGAGATACGCAGATTCGGCGGGGTTGCGTCGTCGACTCGCAAGCGAGGCGCTCGAGTTATCTGGCGTGGATCGCCCCTGGGCGGGCGCGCGCAGTAGCGCTTCGCGCTTGCCGCGCGCCACTTCGCCAATGCAGCGAGCGGTTTCTGCGTTATACAGCGGGGGCAGATATTCCATTCATGTCAGGGCTTCATTTTCTTGCGCTGCCCACGCAATGGAATGTTCCCCCGAGTTCCCAGGCTGCCCGCGAGCAGCTGCCCTTCAGCGCTGCGACGAGGCGAGACCGCCAAAATCTGGCAAACAATAAAGGTTTGCAAATGAGCTCGGCCTTCCGGGGCCCTCTTGGGAGGCCTCTTGGAGGCTTCTCTGGGCGCCTCGGAGGCCCTTCGGGCCCGCTGGGGGCCATCTTGAGCATCTGGAAGCGATCGTCCTAGATCGATCTAGATCGATCTAGGACACGCCCGCCCCGCGCCCAGGCGTACGGCGGT